TGATAGGATAATATCCATACACCTACAAGGAAGACCAGTTAATATGACTATTATTCAAATTTACGCACCAACCATTAAGCCCAAAGATGAAGAAACTGAAGATCTTTAACAACTTCTGCAGTCTGAAATTCAGTGAACATGCAGTCAGGATGCACTGATAATGGTGACTGGAATGCAAAAGTTGGAAACGAAGAAGGATCAGTAGTTGGAAAATATGGCCTTGGTGATAGAAACGATGCTGGAGATTGCACGACTGAATTTTGCAAGACCAACGACTTCTTCATTCACCAATATAAACGGTGACTATACACATGGACCTCTCCAAGTGGAATACAAAGGAATCTAATCAACTACATCTGTGGAAAGAGATGATGGAAAAGTTTAATATCATCAGTCAGAGCAAGGCCAGGTACCAACTGCGTAACACACCATCAGTTGCTCATATGCAAGTTCAAGTTGAAACTGAAGAAAATTAGAAAATTAGACAGCCAAAGTACGACCTTGAGTATATCCTACCTGAATTTAGAGACCATCTCAAGAATAGATTTGGTGTGCTGAACACTAATGACTGAAGACCAGAAGAGTTGTGCAATGACATCAAGTACATCATACATGAAAAAAGCAAGAGGTCATTAAAAAGACAGGAGAAAAAGAAAGACCTAAATGGATGTCAGAAGAGACTCTGAAACTTGCACTTGAACGTCGAATAGCTAAAGCAAAAGGAAAAAATAATGAAGTTAAAGAGCTGAACGGAAGATTTCAAAGGGTGGCTCCAGAAGACAAAGTAAAGTATTACAATGACATGTGCAAAGACCTGGAGATAGAAAACCAAAAGGGAAGAACACTCTTGGCATTTGTGATTGTGGTTAAGATTGTGTGTCAACTTGGCTGGGCCATGATTCTCAGTGTTTTAATGTAATCACTCCCATGACTGAATATACTGTGAGTAGCCAATCAGATGAAAGGGAGTCTCCTTAGGGGTGTGGTCCGCATCTGAATATAAGGAGATGTTCTGGCTTTTTGCTCTCTCTGGGTCCTGTGGCTGCTTCCTGTCGTCTCATCTCTCATTCTTGGGACTTGAGCTGTCAGCTTATCCACTGAACCTGGGATTTGTCAATCTACACAGCCTGTGAGTGGGAACCCTGCTCTCTGACCTGCCGATCTTGGGCTTGCCAGTTTCTGCAGCTGTGTGACTTGGGAGAGGCCTCTATACTGATCTACAGACTTGGGACGTTCTAGCCTCTACAATCACGTGAGCTGTTTCCTTGATATAATCTCTCTCTTTATATATATTTATACAGTTTACTGGTTTTGCTTCTCTAGAGAACCCAGCCTAAGACATTTGGTACCGGGAGTGGTTCTAGAGAAACAAAATTGTAAGGATGAGTTTTCTAAATTGGTTCTCAAGT